CCCCGCCCCACCCCTTCCCCCCCTCTCCCGTCTTTGGACTGAACGTCACTGTTGTCGTTGCACTGACAGACGGAGTCAGACAAAGATAGAAAAATGACGGCAATGACGACGGAACAAGTGGAGAGAGCTGAGAGAGAGGTGATAAAGTACGTGATAGAGGGAATCCACTATGACAATGAGGACGAGTTGAAACTATTACACGAAAGAGCACCGGCGTACTTCAACGTCACCTTGGACATCCAGAGGTCAATAGCAGCAAACGGAGACAAATCGACGAGAGCACAACAGTTGCTGCATCGCTTACAACAAAGTGCGTGCGTGGCTAAGGACGAGACGTTGACATGTTGCTCTGCGTACACCCTTCAGCGAGTTGTGGAATGGATGTGTAATGACGAAGACATCGACAAGAGTAAGTGAGAGGGAGGTGGTTTTTACGACAGATCGGCGTTCAAAAAGTTTGTCACATCTCGGGCGAAGGAAGCTCGAATGTTGAAGACAGAAGCGCATGGCATATTGAAGAGTAATGCAGCGGAGATATTGACACTCAGCAGGATGAACGAGCTACCTCAAACAGACCCTGTTGACTACCATGATTTGGCAACAGTGGTGGTGGAGGATGTCGAGTACGTCTTGCTCAATCAGATTATGGATTTCATGTTGAAGACAGATAATGATACAAATTTGATTCACGAGGCCTTACACGAGGTGACAGAGGATGCAATAGCAGCAGCAGAGCTTGCTGATGTCGAGAGCACAAAGGATGAAAATCAATTAGTGTTGGGGACTCCAATATGTCACGGGGACATATTCACAGTTCTGGAGGACCTCACCAGGGCATCAACGGAAGCAGAGAGAATGAGCAAAAAAATACAAGGATGGCAATCGGTTGTTGCGGAAGCAATCAATGCGACACACCATATGCCAGATAGCACACTGCAGACTACAAGTGGCGTGAGATCTGTAACAGCGGTTCAGAACCCGTTGACGATTCCTACTGTGGATACGTTGAGTGTCCATAATGCATTTAGAGTGTGGAGATTACCACCCTATCGTCCTTTACATGAGATCATCGAAGGACACGAACAAGTGGCATTCTAGGGAGTGCATGCGGATAGCGGAACTAGTGAGAACGAAATTGCACAGACAGGGGATGATGAAAAACCGCCGTCACGCGAGGTGGGATTGAGTGGCAGTGATATCTGCGATGACGAGGAGGGTGACGAATACGACTCTTATTGGGGCGTTCAGCGTGGTGGTGGACAGGCCCCGAAAGGGTGGTGTCATGCAATTTTAAGGTTGAAACATGTTTTTGCCCACACCTGTTGATACGTGTTGTGGACAAGGAAATAACACGGGGCGGGTCTCTTCAGTTCGCCGGCGTTAAGGCAGTTATGTCGTGCATGGAAAACGGCAAACGATGACATCGTACAGGAAAATCATGGTTTGTTCTCGTACATAAGGAGATAATTCTTATGACATCAATGTCATGGGGTGTGAACCTCAGTTGCATCATACATGGAGCAGTTGTCACTGCATGCGGAGGAACCGTGCATCCCACAATGTCAACAGCACATGCAATTATAAATGCAGAACCAAAACGCCGACTCTCTCTCACGACAGACGGCACCATCGATGCTGCGATGGACAGAAGACATTCAGAGGAAGAACATTCGAAACACATAAAATTCTATGACTTTGTCTCTCTCTCTCTCTCTCTCTGTGTGTGTGTGTGTGTGTGTGTGTGTGTGTGTTATTGTTTTGACCGTATCACAGTCACCCACGCTTGTGACGATGTGGTTGGGAAGTGGGGGCCATATGTGAAGACGTTGTTGGTATATTACGTCGTAAGTAGCACCCACTTCCCAACCTTGTACAAATGTGAGGTTTTTTATGTCTTTATTACCGAAATTGCATCACATTTACAAACCGGTCTTCCACATACATTCGTGACGATATCGTTGAGATGTCGGGGCCGTGTATTAACATGTTGTTGTCGTATTCCGCCATAAGTGACACCCAGTTGCCAACTGTGTTGAAATGTTGCAGTTACACAAATTGGTTCCTAAATCATCTCTCTCTCTCTCTCTCTCTCTCTCTCTCTCTCTCTCTCTCTCTCTCTCTCTCTGTTATTGTTTTGACGGTATTACTGTCACCCACGCTTGTGACGATGTGGTTAGGAAGTGGGCGTCATATATGAAGACGTTGTTGGTATATTACGGCGTAAGTGGCACCCACTCCCCAACCTTGTACAAATGTGAGTTTTTTTTATGTCTTTATTGTTCAAATTGCATCACATTGACAGACCGGCCTTCCTCATACATTCGTGACGATATGGTCGAGATGTCGGGGCCGTCTATGAACATGTTGTTGTCATATTCCGGCAGAAGTGACACCCAGTTGCCAACTGTGTTGAAATGTTGCAGTTACACAAATTGGTTCCTAAGTCATCTCTCTCTCTCTCTCTCTCTCTCTCTCTCTCTCTCTCTCTCTCTCTCTGTTATTGTTTTGACCGTATCATTGTCACTCACGCTTGTGACGATGTGGTTAGGGAGTGGGGGCCATATATGAAGACGTTGTTGGTATATTATGGCGTAAGTGGCACCCACTTCCCAACCTTGTACAAATGTGAGGTTTGTTATATCTTTATTGTTGAAATTGCATCACATTTACAGACCGGTCTTCCACATACATTCGTGACGATATCGTTCAGAGGTCGGGGTCGTGTATTAACAGGTTGTTATCGTATTCCGTCATAAGTGACATATTGGTTGCCAACTGTCTTGAAATGTTGCACGTAGACAATTTCGTTCCTAAGTCAGTCTCTGTTACATGCTGAAAGCCTACACACGGGCCCCTCACGTGACCCGAGGTTGGAATAGGGCCCCAAGTTGCGTCACCACAACCTGAAGACCCTATGGCATTCTTACTTGGGCCTGCATCACAAAAACGCCAGCTTTAGATTATTTTTATATTCTTTTATTTATTTATTTCCTGCTGTTTTTCTAACGGGTGTAATGTTGTCCGTTTTGTGGCTAGGTATACGTTTTAGGACCAGGGTCAGATTCAGGCCTAAAGGCTGAGCTCCTAAAAACGTTTGGACCTTTTATTTTGTTTTCAAACAGATTTTTACCTGTTCGGACCCAGGTCGACGTTGAGGCCGGATACGTCCGCACAGGACCGGTTTGAAGCCAGGTACCAGGAAACTGAATCCTGGACAGGGCCTGGACGTCAGGTAGGGACCCAGACAGGCCGTTTTTAGGCCAAGGACTGAACCAGTTTTTGAAGCCTGCGATCTGGACTGTGGATCGGAGTTTTGATTTGAACGGTCCACAACGTAGGCCATGGACTCACTGGGTCCGGCTCAGCACTACTTAAGTTGGGCCAACGCCCGGTTGTGGGAGAAGGTACCAGGAGAAATCCAACGTTATGCTGGTTCAGGAACTTGGCTGCTGCGCTATTTTGGAGACTCCCTGCTGCGCTATTTTGGAGACTGCAGCTGCGCTGTTCATCGACAATGAGGCACAACGCTGAAGGAGTCCAGCGCCGAGGAGAGTATTGGAGTTAGAGAGAGAGAGAGAGAGAGAGAGAGAGAGAGAGAGAGAGAGAGAGAGAGAGAGAGAGAGAGAGGAGGACTTACCTGTACCAGCGCCATAGCTGGCTCCGCGGTACCTGCAAGTTCAGCCATCACCAGGTAAGTGTAGAAAGCGTCTAACTTTCATTCTCTTCTTCTTCTTCTTCTTTTTCTTCTTCTTCAGAGTAGAGATAGAGGTGACTGCAGACATTGTTTGGACACGGCCTTCGGCCTTCTCGGACATGACATTCAGATCGGACTTACACTCTACATCGGGGTTGAACTGTGTATGACATTCGGATATCAGACTTGGATTGGACTTGGTTACCTCCTATGTCCCTCCTCTTTTGTATGTCTATGAATCTCTCCCCATGTGTGTGAGTGAAAGGACAATCTTTCTGATGTCTTGCCCTTCCGAAGTTTCTCCCTTTCATGTTGTTGTCCACGTGTCCTTTTGATACTAAATATTCCGCTGCGCTGCTTCCCAGCCCATGATGATAATGATACGAATGTGTTGTTGTTGATTTCCCGTTGGTTCACTCTTCGCATCGTGCACATTGACATCTTGTGAATGTTGCACCTATGCTGTTGGTTGTTGCCACTTTCGTCATTGCTAGATCCTAGGCTCTCAGTGCATTTCACTTTCTGATATGCTACAAGTGGTATCGGAGCTAGTGCGATGAATCTTGGCAACAACCAATCAATCAATTGATTGATTGGATTGACGGTTTGCCACCAATCAATCTTCGATTGATTCAATCTTTGATTGATTCAATCTTCGATTGATTGATCAGTCAATCAGGAGATTGATCGAACAATCGATCAATCAACAAGCAATCATCTGAGATTGACTGATTGATTGATTGATTGATTGATTGATTGATTGATTGATTGATTATTTGACAATTGTTTATTTAATCTTGGAAATTTTCCGGAATTAATTATTTCTTTTTCGGAGAATTATTTTTTCGAGAATTTTTTTTTTCTTTTGAGAATAGTGTTTTCCTGAGAAATTATTTTTTTTTTTTTAGAATTTTTTTTCGAGAAATTATTTCTTTTCGCGAATTTTTCTTCCCGAGAAATTATTCTATTCCGAGAAATTATTTTTTCCGATAAATTTGGTTGCCGAGATCTTTTTTTCGTTCTGAAAATTCTTTTTCCGAGAATATTTTTTTTCCCTTGTTTAATTGTTAAATGTCTGCATTTTGACAATTTCGGTTCTTTTTCCGAAAATGTCCCTCTACACTTTCACTGCATAGGTCTGCAAATTCCGTTTAAAAAAAAAAAAAAAAAAAAAAAAAAACTGCATTTTTTTCTTTTTGCAACCTACTCCTACTCTGAGTTTGTAAAAATCCTTCTTTTCTGATTCTCTGCAGTCCGAGCACCGAAGGTTCACATTTGCGTTCTGCATCACCTTCGGCACTCAGTGGGATTGGACAGTCTTTTTTTCGAATTTCTGATTAATTTTTTTAATCAAAATTATTATTATTATTATTTTTATTTTTTTTAGGAAAACTGTTCAATTTGGGATCTGTCCGATCCTTCCCACTTGTCTGCTGCCTACCTGTTCCTCCCCCTCTCCCGGGCACGACAGTGCATGCCACTGCTCACTCGATCACAGACCAAGGTCATGGACCGGAAGGCGGAAGAATCCCTCCTGGCCTACGAGGAACGCCTGGCGGCATTCATTCAAGAGGCCAACGATAGGGCCGCCGCCGCAGCCAAGGAACGAAGTCAGATTGAGCAAGCAGAGGAGGTCAAGCGACGGAAGGAGGAACAGGACCAACTTCGTCAAGAGGAGGTAGACCTGCAGGCGGCAACTGAACACCGGTCACGCCAGAGGGAACGACTGTTCACGCGGGAGACCGTGATCGGGGATGAGACCGCACATTGCGTGGCGATGACATCTGCAGACGAGGCCCCGGAGACTGACAAAGGGTTGTCCGCCGTTGCGCAGATCTCCCACGACCTCGTGGCCACCTGCGCCCTGCAGAAGGAGGAAATCCTTCACCTGCAGCAAACAGTGGACCAGATGCTTACACGACTGCAGGCGTTGGAGAAACAGCCAGCTGCTGTAGCAGCCGCTGGGCCTTCCAACCTTACCACCCGCGTTCAAGTCTTGGAGGATGACGTCAGCAATATCAAGCGTGTGCATCAGGATTTCAGGACGTCGTAGCAAGCAACGAACTTGCAGTTGGAGACGCAGGTCCAGGCTGCTGCCACCGTAACGCCCACGCCGCATCCTTCCGGTGTCCACCCAAACTGGATGACATGCCAGTTTTCTGCGATCAGTCCAAGACGAAACCGATCTCGTGGTGGCGCCAGTTTACTCTCAGGCTCGACATGCACCATGTCCCGAACAACGATCGACATYYGTGCTTGTACCACCGATCTGGTGGTGCATGTCAAGCATGGCTGGACAACATCTTGACCAGCCACGGCGTAGCAATGTCGGAACTGCACACCAAGCTCACTTGGCAGGAGTTGACTGACGCCTGGCACAAGCGATTCCAAGTGGAGCCGCCCGACMTGCAAGCGATGGACAAGCTCAACAAGCTCCATCAGAACACGCTGCTCAGTCAGGACTGGATTATCGAGTTCCAAAGACTCGCTTCCACACCTGACCTGCCTCTCGTATTCCGCGCCATCAAGCACTTGTTTATCATGCCCTCGTGTCCAGCTCTGCAAAACGCGCTGACGCAGATTGCAGAGACACTCGACACATTTGACAAGCTTTTCAGCACAGCGTCACGGATCATTCTCACGAATATAGAGCCCGCAACGCCGGCCGATCTTCCGCGACGACGAGCAGCACCCAGCCCAAGCCAAAGGTGGTTTGCATTACTCTACCGAGGCTGCAACACCAAACGAGGGTGAAGTGTTGGCAGCTGCCCGGGATGGTGGCCGGCCGCGCAACAATCACGGCCACAACAAGACGAAGACTCAGTCCACCTCTACACCGAGCACCGGATCAGCAGCCGACGAACCTTGGGCACAATACGGACTCTCGGCGAATTCCTATCGCACGAGACTCAAGTACTGTTACTGCCTTTGGTGCAATAGCACCATCCACGATGCTGCACATTGCCCCACCAAGGGGAAACCCCGTTCGGGAAAGTAGGCGCCGCCGAGGGTGACTCGACACCTCCCTCGACGCCATCCAGAGCGGTTGTGCGCACGACTGCCCTTTCTTCTAAGGCATATGCGGATGTCGGGAGTCTTCCACTTTCATTCGAAGACTTCGCTGTCCGGCTCATTCCTTCAATGGATGCTTCTCAAGGACAAGATACATGTGCGGCTTTCTTACTGTCCGAAGGTTCTTCCGCCAKTTCGTCTTCATCAAGGGATTCGGCAAGCATGTTCAACGAGGAGGTCTTGGACCCGCTCACGCCCGGGGACTTCGCTTGGATTCCTCTCCCTACGACGGGCAACCTTCCGGGGCCGCAAAGCGCAGCACTATGCACCCTCTTACATGAGTATCTTTCTTTCCATGCACCACCAACTTCGTCGACGGTAGACGAAGTCACAAAGGGGGACATGCTTGGCTATGTTGCCAAGGTGGCCCGCGAGTTTGTCTCGCAACGGTACGCAAAAAACAATGCACCGTTGCTCTACGTTCGCATTCAGATTGGGYAAGCGGCCTGCAACGCTTTGCTAGATTGCGACGCAACTCGCAACTTCATCAACCAGTCCTTCATGACTCGGGCTGGCCTTGGCTCACAAGTACGGAGGAAGTCACATCCGACGACGGTCGCTCTTGCCGACAATAAGACGAAACAACTTTTAGACCGTTACATCTCGGCTGTCCCGGTGTACTTTGCACCGCACGCATGTGAACCCGTCACTTTTGACGTGTTGGACACGGACTTCGATGTCATTTTGGGGATGCCTTGGCTTTCTAGCGCGGACCACACCGTCAATTTCCATCGACGCATGCTCACGATTCGTGATGCAACTGGCGCCGAGGTCCCGTGTACTATTCCTCCTCCTCGCTCTTCCATTCGGTGCCAAGTCGTGAGTGCCAAATCTTTTCGAGACACATGTCGTTCCGAGCATGTCGAAGAGATTGGCATCGCTTTTCTTCGAACCGTCCCGACGACCGACTCATCGTCCACAGATGTGTCTTCCGACCCCTGTGTGACCCGGTTGTTAGACAAGTTCTCGGATGTTTTTGAGACACCCTCCGGTATAATGCTGGACCGACCGATCTCCCACGAGATCATACTCGAGGCCGGCGCCGTGCCACCAAAGGGATGCATTTATCGCATGTCTGAGGAGGAGCTCACGGTGTGCAACTCGACGATCTACTTGACAAGGGATGGATCCGCCCTAGCAGCTCACCTTACGGTGCGCCCGTTCTCTTCGTTCGGAAGAAGAACAAGGACCTTCGACTTTGCATTGACTACCGACGYCTCAACGYGCAAACCATCAAGAACGCRGGGYCTCTACCTCGCAWTGACGATYTGCTTGAGCGGTTGGGYGGCGCCAAGTACTTTTCGAAGTTGGACCTCAAGTCGGGCTACCATCAGATTTCCATCCGCCCGCAAGATCGGTACAAAACCGCGTTCAAGACGCGATATGCGCATTTTGAGTGGGTAGGTATGCCTTTTGGCCTCACCAATGCCCCGACCACTTTTCAGGCGGCCATGACCACCGAGTTTCGCGCTATGTTGGACCGCTTCGTCTTGGTCTACTTAGACGACATCCTCGTCTATAGTCGAACTCTAGAGGAGCATCTCGAGCACCTTCGCCGTGTTCTAAAGACTTTTCGGTCAGCCCAGTACAAAGCTAACCGCGACAAATGCGAGTTTGTCCGACAAGAGCTTGAATACTTGGGTCATTTTGTCTCTCTGGAAGGCATTCGTCCGTTGGCGGACAAGATTCAAGCCATCCAGGAGTGGCCCGAGCCGAAGAATGTGACGGACCGATCCTTCCTCGGCTTGGCCGGTTATTATCAGCGCTTCATCAAGGGTTACTCGAAGATCGCGGCCAACCTAAGCAAGTTACAAAGCGAGGAGCAGCCTTTTGACTTCGACGACGCCGCGCGTCATTCTTTTTAAACACTCAAAGGGGCACTCTTGTCCGTCGAGGTGTTACATATTTACGACCCGCTTCTAGCTACGCGCGTCACTACCGATGCGTTGGGCTATGGCATTGGGGCCGTCCTTGAGCAACATGATGGCACGGACTGGCACCCGGTCGAGTACTTTAGCAAGAAAGTACCTCCCGTGCATTCGATCGATGACACACGGAAGAAGGAGCTTCTTGCCTTCGTCCACACCCTCAAGCGTTGGTGACATTTTCTCCTTGGTCGGAAACCATTCCGATGGGTAGCGGATAACAATCCGTTGGTATTCTACAAGTCGCAAGACACAATTAACAGTACCATTGCCCGTTGGATGACTTTCATCGACCAGTTTGACTTTTTCCCCAATCACATTCCCGAGAAGTCAAACCGTTTTGCGGACGTCCTCCCACGGCGATCGGATCTTTGCACCGCAGTCTACTCTACCTTCGAGATCGACGACGACTTGCGGGAGAGCTTATCTGTGGCTATCAAGTCGACCCCCACTTTCGAGACAAGTACGGGAATTGCTCCTCTCTGAATCCGGTGCCTTCACATTATGGGATCCAAGAGGGCTACTTACTTGTGCATTCACGGGGTAAGGATCTTCTTTGTGTGCCGAGTGATTCACACTTGCGGACACGGCTTCTTGGCGAGTTTCACGATGCGCCCGCCTCCGGACATTTTGAGAGAAGGTTAACAACACTCGTATTTTTCATCACCACTTCAGGACACCCTTCACCACTTCAGGATGCAGTCTGCCTAAACAGGTGGTTTTCAGGGTCTTCAGACCTTTCACCACTTCAAGACCATTCAGGTCTGAAAATCCTGAATGGTCCTGAAGTGGTGAAAGCTCCGAAGACCCTGAAAACCACCTGTTTAGGCAGGCTGCATCCTGAAGTGGTGAAGGGTGGTTTTCATGGTCTTCGGACCTTTCACCACTTCAGGACCATTCAGGATTTTCAGACTGCCCAAAACTCTCACTTGACCACTTTAAGACACCCTTTACCACTTCAGGATGCAACCTGCCCAAACAGGTGGTTTTCAGGGTCTTCGGACCTTTCACCACTTCAGGACCATTCATGATTTTCAGACTGCCCAAAACTCTCACTTCAGAATTTTCATTTTTGAATTTTCAGCTACCCGATAACCGCTTGTGGACATTTTGGTGTCAACCGTACACTTGGCCGACTTCGCCAGCGGTTCTATTGGCCCGACCTTCTCTAGGACGCCACCCGCTATTGTGAGTCGTGCGAAGTCTGTCGGCGTTGCAAGTCACGCAACCATTGTCCGTTCGGCGAGCTACACCCACTACCAGTGCCCCTTGGGCGACGGGAAGCAATTGCTATGGATATCACCGGCCCCTTCCCGAAGCACAAGACCGGCGCTGTCTCTTATACACATCTAGATGTGTATAAGAGACAGCCGTTCGGCGAGCTACACCCACTACCAGTGCCCCTTGGGCGACGGGAAGCAATTGCTATGGATATCACCGGCCCCTTCCCGAAGCACAAGACCGGCGTGGATGGGATCCTCACGGTCATCGACCGCCTCACCAAGTACGCMAKGTTTTTGCCTTGCCGCTATYACGCAAAGGCACCGGAGTTAGCCGAGGTCTTATACACCGGTTGGATTCGCTCCAAGGGCTACCCCAAGGAGATCGTTTGYGACCGGGACACTCGCTTTCTCTCCGACTTTTGGGTCGCCCTCGTCAAGCGATGGAGCTCATCTTTGAAGCCGAGTTCGGCTCGCCACCCGCAAACCGATGGTCAAATGGAAAGGGCGCATCAGACCGCCCAAGTCCTTCAACGCACTCTTATCCGTCCCGACCATGTTGATTGGGTTGAGCGCTTGCCAGACGTTGAGTTGACTTACAACTCATCGATCCACCCGGCTATCGGGATGTCGCCATTCGAGTTTGAGCATGGTTCACCCATCTCATCGCCGTTGGACGCCACTTTACCGCGCACAGCCGAGAGTGACGACCATCTTGCGTTCCTTCGTCGCATGCAAGAGCTTCTTGTCACGGCACGGGATCAAATGTCAAGGACGCAAATACAGATGAGCCGTCAAGCCAACCGCAATCGCCTTCCTTGCCCGTTCCGCGCCGACTATCTGGTTTGGGTCTCCACCGCGGAG